GACTTGGAGTTTAGCTGCTAAATCACTCAGTGTGAACACAAAAGGCTTGGGATGGGAAAAGGTTTGTTTCTGAATTTTTCTACACTGAAACCATCAGTAACTCCTGCACTTGGGTGAATTCAAAACATTAATATTGTAGGAAATTAATTTTTTAAGAGACTGGATGAAATAATGAAAATACCTTGCTAAACAGAACAGCAGACTCTGAGGACAGGCTCTGTAAGAAGAGTTATTCATACTGACTTTTCATTAGTCAATTAATTTCCCTTGGTACATGCTGACTAATATGGTTTTTAGTCCTTAGCAGTAATACCAGCTTTGAGTTCAAAATAAAGGATGGCTTTAACAAGTGCTCTGCTTTCCCCATTGAATATAATAATCCACTCAAAAAAAATCTACTACTACTTAAGAGATACAAAATTGGGAAGGACAGGAATAGAATTAAAAAACATTCTTTAGTATTTTGAGGGAAAGATCTACTTGGATTTACCAAAGATTTCTAGCAATTAAAGAAAAAAAAATACAATGGGAAAATACTTTAAATTCTAATTTAGGACTTTTCCATTACAGACCAGTGACATTCAAGTCCTTTCATTCACACAACTGCACAATAATTCTTTTTCTAAATTTAGGTATTTAAATGCACTGATTATCAAAACACAGAAAAAGAATTCTTACTTGCTTTTATAATATTCCTTAAACTTGGAAATTGTAACAACAAATGAAATGCCTCTTCAATCTGCCCTCCTTGATCAATGCTAGATTTTAAAAATGGAAATAATTTTCCCTTTTCAAATGTACCATATGATTTCTCAGGCACAATGCATTTTCAAGAAGCAGTAGGAAGACTTGAAAAATAACCTTCCATCAACTATTTTAATCACACTTGTAAGTAGCTCAATATTTATTACCTGACAGACAGTGTAAGATAAGAGGATGTTCAATCGGTAGAAAATATCAATCAAGTAAAAACTTGTCACATATCACCTGAATAAAATCCATATTTGGATAAGGGTTTTATGTCATTTTCTTGAAACCCTCTTCCAGAATAGTGTATTCCTATTTTTGTTCTTGAGAAAAGAGAATTTTCTTTTTTCTTCATGCACTGTTTGCCCTAGAAGCTCCATCAATAAAACCCCCAAAATCTGTGTGCTTTAGTGGACTACAATTTTTTTCCAGTTACTCTGGAAAAACTCCACACCAACAGACTTTTTTTGCAAACTTGTGTCTTTTACCAAAATACAGCCTTACAGGACATTATGAACTGTCCCATCAGGCTGGATTAATGAGCATTATCTTTGGATAAATGCAATTCCAAGTTATTAAATCTAAGACAATGGATTGCTGGAATAATGCAAGAGCCACATTGGTGCATTTCTATCACAGAGGGAAAAACATCAAGAACAAAATCACTATTTAATGCTCTGCAATCACTGAAGAGTCAAACCAGAAATGAGAATTTAGGAAAAGTGAACCAACAATAACAGCATTACTGTTTATCTAAAAAGGTAAGTGACTGTTTAGAAACAGATTAAGAAGGCAGCATGAGAGAAACTGCAAACCAGAATACAGAAAATATTAAATAGGGAGGATCATCTTAATGTTTCACCAGCCAGAAAAAAAGGATAATATATGAAAGGTAAAGGCAAAATTAAACTTTCTGAAAAACAAAGAACCAAGTAGAATCAATTTTTGAACTCCCTGTCACAGTACAACATGCAAAGTATTTGGCAAAATACAGGAAACAAAACAATTAAAAAAAAAAAAAAAATATATATATATATATATGCATTATTCATATACTTCATATAAAAACCAGAATTAGTCTGGGCTGAAAAGAATTTGCCCCTGTCAAAAATCAGTACCACCAATTGTTTTATTTCTTCTTCATTGGAGTAACTAGTACTGGAGATTGACAGAGACAAGGTAAATTATGTCACTACCAAAAATATACTTGTTCATTGCAAAGCAGGTAAAGACAAAGCTATTTTTTTGTATCCAGACAAAACTTTGATTAAATGTGGTTTTGAACTTACACGTCCTTCACGAGAATTATGCGTGCGAAGAATTTACATGGAGGACACCCAATTAATTTAGTTAGGGGCTTAACTACAACCTGGGAAGAAAAGGAACTATTAGAGTAGTACTAGAGTGGTTCAGGGAAAAAAAAATTGGGGAATTTACTACATCTTCAGGAAAGCAGTGTGAATTCTCTGCTGAAAGGAATTTGCCCCTGTCAAAAAATCAGTACCACCAATTGCTTTATTTCTTCTTCACTGGAGTAACTAGTACTGGAGATTGACAAAGTATGTCACTACCAAAAATATACTTCCTCATGACAAAGCAGGTAAAGACAAAGCTATGTTTTTGTATCTGCCATCCAGACAAAACTTTGAATGTGATTTTGAACAAAATCACTTAAATGTGATTTTGAACTTACACGTCCTTCACGAGAATTACGCGTGCAAAGAATTTACATGGAGGACAACCAATTAATTTAGTTAGGGGCGTAACTACAACCTGGGAAGCAGAGGAACTAGAGTGAGTTAGTTATTAGAGTAGTACTAGAGTGGTTCAGGGAAAAAAAATCAGGGAATTTACTACATCTTCAGGAAAGCAGTGTGAATTCTCTGCGTGTTCAGTGCACTGACTCGACGATTCGACAGATAAAGCACGTGCTAGAGCTGGCTGATGGAATTAAACATAGATACACTTGGAAATAAAGGAGAAAGCTCCCTGTGCTGGGAGAAGGGGTGTTTTCCTGTGTGTGTGAGTGCAGCAGAGAGGAGAGGAGCCGCGCAGAGGGAAGGGGAGCAGCTGCTGGGAGCACCAGGCAGCCGCGCACATGTTGGGCAGCATCCCCAATTATCGGTGCCAGCGAGGCCGCACATGCTCCCAGGGGCTGCTGGCAGGCTGCTTGGAGAGGCCAGCACTGTGCTCACTGCAGGGCTCTGGGAACTCACTCCTCAGGGCACCAACTTCCACGGTTTCAAAAAAAAAAAAAAAAAAATTTAATGCTTGTTGGGATTTTAGCTGACTAGAGATTGGAAAAGTACAAGGTTGTGGCTAATTTTGAGTTTTGCACTTGCAAGATAGCGTGACTTTGGACTTAGCTGTAGTGTGATAATAAATAGTGGAGGAGACACGAGAAAAGAGAGATGTAACTTTTAAGGAATGGGGAAGAGCTGATGTTGTGGTGTGGCCAATGGACAGTGTAAATTACAGAATATTCATGAGCTTATTGCTTGCTGTATAAGTGTCTGATGCTCTCTTCAATAAATGGAACTTGCTGATGACTCATGTTGAGCCCTGAGTTTTCCTTGCACCCGACAAACGGCTCATTCTGCAACAAATGCCCTTGTTCATTTAAAACATCTAGGCAAAGATTCTGCACATTCATTTTTTTTTTTAATTCAGGATTTTCCAGCACTTACTGCTAAAATTTAAAACTCAGTTATTTAAAAAATGAGGTACAATTTTAATTCTAACTCCCTGGAATTTATATATTTTCTTTTTTCTTCATGCACTGTTCGCCCTAGAAGTTTCATCAATATAATCAACTTCTCAAGTAAGTTTGACGCAACCTTTAGTTTCTATCTTAGAGACACTTCTGTACTTCTCTAAAACACAAACATTCTTTTTATTGGCATGGTACATAAAGAAGACCACGATGGAAATATATCCCAATTATGGACAGGCAATTCCAGTGTGTAAGAAGCAGGATGATAGTTTTTACATTCACAAATTCTATTTCTTGCATTAAATTTAACTGCCTCTCTTTCTGAAGGCAGACTGCCAGCTAATATTTAAAAATAATAATTAAGGAGGTAGAGGTATGTACTGCAAGAGAAATATTCACACACTATTGACTACAACGGTAAAACTAGAAAATCAACCTTCTTTATTTTTGAAGGATTAATTGCATTGCATTTATCATTAATTGCATTTAAATAAATAACATTTGCAGGTATTCAAACACCTTTAACAAATGCAGTACGTGTGAGTCACGTACCTACCCTAAGCCAGGATTTCATCTATTGATAAACTCACCTAGCATGAAAATATTTTGCATAATATGAGGTTTTACCCAGTACTTTTTTACTAGGATCAAATCAAATATACAAAATTATAGGCTCTCTGTTCATTGTGAATAATAACATTTTTGCTTTTGTAAGTTACACTCACAGAACAAAAGACTATCTACATTTTTCCTTTTGCTAAAAAAGTTTACTTTCGGAAGATATATCGAAGTCTCTGTACGCTATCAGGAACAATGCTGTTAATTGCTTCTGATTTTGCAGTTGGGAAAATAACTCATCCCATAACTGGCTTGCTCCTAGTCCCAGCATAAGAGGATATTAGAATTATAGAGCAAATCTACACCCTTAAAAACAAGATCAGATATCACTATAATGAGCACTTCAGATAAAGACAGAGAACTGAAAAGCCTCGTATTGATACTCCAAAAAGCATTTTGAAAGCATTTTTGAAAGCACATAAACATGTTGCAAAAATGATCAAAAAAGAGATTATTATAGATATTTACTTTTTTACAGTTTCTGAAATTTTGACAATTTTTTAAAAAAGGAATAAGACCAACATTTGGCATAACTGTTCCTAAAACTCATAATTGGGCAAGATTTTTGTGTCATTTTCTTGAAACCCTCCTCCAAAACAATGTGTTCCTATTTTTGTGCTTGAGAAAAGAGAACTTTTTTTTCTTCATCCACTGTTTACCCTGGAAGTTCCATCAACAAAACCCCCAAAACCTGTGTGCTTTAGTGGACTACTAAAATAATTTTATACATCGTTCTTTGTAGATTTTGCAGCAGGACTCTCCCACGAAAGTGTAAAGTGTAAGATATAGCCATGTTTTAAGATCACACTTTGAACAAAAAGGCTTTAAAAAATGTCCAGAACTGCTTTTTTTTTTGTTTGTTTAATGTAGGTTTTAAAGTTTAGCTAAGTGCTGTGGGAGGCAGCAGAAGCAGCATTCCTACCTGGATGAGGTGAGCAGGCACGGTGACGATGCAGGCAGACAGGGATTTCCTGAGCAGGGCACGCAGGACATACAGGAATTTGGTCAGGCTCTGAGGATCCTCGGGAGCATCGCTGCAACAAACATCATCACCCCACAAGACGGAACCCAGGCTCTGAATTCCTATCCTCAAAACGTTCCTTTGTTTTTTCTGTTCGGGGGGGGAAAAAAAAATATAAAAAATAAAAAAGTTGTTATTTTCTAAATGTTAGGAGGAATACAATTTCTAGAATGCATGTCCATAATAATGGTGTGTTTTATGTTATCACAGTAATCTCTGTCAATCTTATAAAAACTGCAAATGGAATGGGATTTTTTTTCACTGCTTAGATACCATGGATAATCTAATAGACACATGGAAATACTGAGAACTACTAATTTGTATTTTTTAACCAGCTAAATATAAGTATATTCTGAAATAAAATCTAGTAACACTACGGCATTTTACATCCTTTCTACCCTCCATCACTGTCTTAAAAATCATGTAGAAGAGTATTTGCTCCCAGTTCTAAGGCAGCTTGCTGGAGCAACCAAACACAACTTCTCCCTCTATTTTCACCTTTCTGCTGTGCCACTTCCATAACCTGACTGTTCATGGTCTGCTTCAGTTCCACTTTTTCTGAGAGAGCAAGGCCAGTGCTTTGCTCACCAGCACAGGGGCCTGGCACTGCCTGAGAAGTCTCCAAGCATCATTTATGTCCCTTTCAACTTCTTCCCATCAAGTTGTAGCCACAGCTGTGGGAACACAGAGTGTGATGGGGACAGATTGTCCCTTAAGGAGCCCTTAAAGGACAGATTGTCCCTTCTGCTCTGCTTTAGAGGCAGTGGCCAAGTTAAAGCTCCTTTTCTGAAGGGACAGATGATGAAGTCAAAGTTTTAACTTGTTTATGCCAAGTAAAATTTTATCTCTCATGAGGACAACTCTCATTTCTGCTTGTTTGATGCAACCCTTCCTGGTGGTCTTTGGAAAGGATTTTAGGGATATTTGCTATCAGTGGCTGAGAGAGAGACAAGGAACTTGCTCATTGAAAGACTTCCTGCACAAGGTGATCAAAGAAACATTTCTAGGGTTCACACATGGAGACCAGCTTTCTTTAATTATACACACACACACACACACACACATATATATATAAATATGCTAGTTTTGATAAGTAAAAGCTTGCAAGTACTTCTCACTAGAGAAAAGTGTTTTGAAAAACTGCACTGACACCTCAGGTTTAGCTTTTCTATTTTTCCCCATTCTGTGCTGCTTTAGTGTGTGGGTCTGGGCTTCACACTCAGGGATGGTGAGCTCTGTGCACAGAGCAGGGAGACAAAACAATTCCTGCTCCAGCTGGGCACCAAGGACAAATGATCCCAATCTCAGCCCCAGAGCACAAACCCCGTGGGCTGCAGAGAGAAAAACAAGCAGGGTGGGAGTGCCTGGGCTAAAGCTGGAATGGGACAATGAACTGCAAGGTGCAAATGGAGCAGAACTGATCCCAGGGAGAGAGCCCGGGAGCGCTCCTGCATTTTGGGGCCATTTTGGGTCATTCTTGGGTGCAGCCCTGGCTGGGCTCTGGTGCTGCCCAAGGTGGATCCATGGAGGAGATGCTTTGAATCAATCCCTGCTTGATTCTGTAGCTCTGTCCAGCCCCTGCTCCAGGGCAGCCTGCACAAGGCATCAGCAGATATTAATTTCCAACAGCTGGAATAAACAGCAACTCTCAAGCACAAACCTTGGCCCAGCTGCTCCGGAAATCCAGAGGAAAGGTTTGGACAAGACAAGGGGCTGTTCCAAAAGCTTCCTTACCCATGTTGGGCAGGCAGAGCCTGGGTGTGAGACACAGCCCCACATGGCCCTGCTTTTATCCACCTGTGTCACCTAGGGAGCTGATCTGCCAATTCACCCCCAGTCCCTGGGGAAGCAATCTGTGCTTCAACCTCGGCTTCTGTAGTCTCAGGCTTTGCAGCTTTTAGGATTTAGTCACAAAAAATGAACTCTTTACACCACTGTACAAAGATCAGGATGTCAGTACAGGGTAAGACAACACTTCTCTGTATGGTGTCCTCTCAGATCAGGTGTTCAGTTTTAAAAAGAATAGCAAAAAAAGAGAAGTTTTTGTCTAATACTCTTTAATTACTTCTGACCAGAGCAGATTCAGGCACTTCTTGATGCGCACTTAAGCAATAGGAAAAAAAACAACCAGGCATATAAAAAATAGTTTTAGCCAGATATGATGGACATTAACCAGGCAGAGAAAGCATTACAGTATTTCAAAATTTCAACACAAACATAGATAAAACTTGCAGAAACTTTTTAAATGAGAAAAATATTTTTTGTTATGAGGAACATCCATAAGAACAACATACAGAGGAAAGACCTGTTCTCTTAATGGAGAGAGGATGACAGATGCTTATTTCACAACATCAAATCATAAGAGTAGTAAAAGATAAAGCTATTCAGACACCTGATAATATCAGATGTATTTATTTGGCCAGTAATAGAACTTCTATCAGCATAATTTGTTATACAAAAAGATATATACTAATATACATTATATATATAATTTATTTCTATTTTAGTTTATTATTCCAAAACTTAAATATAAGAACAGTGTAAATCTGATATTCTCCCACAACCAGCCTGCTGTAAAGAGTAGAGTAACATTTTTTAAAAAGCACCACTAGATCTTTAATATTCACATTAGCCTGGAAGTTTGGATTTATTTTGCAATTAAAAAAAAATGCAATTCTTGTAACAGTGTTTAATTTGGCAGCAGAAATTCGAATTATGAAGAATTCAGAAAACCCACCTCCAAGACAACAACAAAATAAATCCCCCTTAACTATTACCCTGAAAGCCTCCAAAGTATACAAAATTAATGTTTGAAAATAGTTGCCTATTAAATCTCTGTTGTCAGAAATGAAAACTCCAAAACACTCTGAAACAAAGAGGTGCTATTCTATATAACTTAATACCATGATCCATTTGTGAAGGATTCCCACTTAAGGATCAATAAGCGGGAAGCTTTGGGAAGGCTGTAAACCTAAGGCTTGTATTTGTAGCTTCCAGATAATTCAAACTCTGATTTTCCAAATATTAACTAATTATTAACTACTAGCTAATGTTAACTGACTGTATTAAGTCCTAGAGATGCCTGAGCATTTTATGAAAGGCTACCAAGCCTCTAATGGTGGTTTTCAATAATTTCAATAATTGTGTCAAACCATCTCTCAGCTGGGATGAGCCACATCCCGCTCAGTTTTCTTCAAATAAAGGAGTAAATCAAAGTATCATTGGCAAATTGATGTGAAAGCAGCCAAAAAATATCTGAAAGTTTTTCCAGTCAAGCAGGGGATTATTTGAGGGTGGGAGTACATGCACAAACTTCTCAGAAGCCTTTATGATTATACATGGCAACTACACACAGGTCCAGAAGGATACAGGCTGCTCCTTGCTCTACAATCTTCACACCTGCCTGCTTAAAAAGCACTTTAGAGAGCTCAGTAAATGAAATGAAATAGCAAGGAATTGCTCAGAGATTTGGCAAGTAAAAGATCCAAGGTGTGTTCCAGGCCACTGCTACATTCAAGTCTAGAGACATTTTTAAGATGTGTGTATTATACAAGGCTTCTAAATGTACAAAATTTGACTGTACAAAGAAAGATTATGCGACGGGAAAAGTGGAATATTAAAAGAAAATAATAGAAACCTCTCCAGGAAACTGCTTGCCTTACCTCCCTCAAAACAGAAAGAACTACATAGTGCTAATGGCTTCCTAGATCAATAAACTGGCCTGAAAACTGACTTTTAAAGTTTCACCTTTGAAATTTATATGTATTATTGAGCAAAAATACACTGTTAGATTCATCTCAGCTAAAGTTCAGGTTTTCTTTAGTGACACTAGCAAGTCATTTTGAAACAACCGACAAAAAACAGAGAACACTATAATCGGTGATGTTGAATTTTTGCAAGTGAAAAAACCCACACAAGTGCTACCTCTGAAAAACCTTCATTTTCTTTTATATAAAAGGGTATGTATAAAGAAAGATAAGCAATGAGAGGCTGCTGTCCTGGGCAGGAGGCTGGCAGGGTGTGTGTGTCACCCAGGGCTCTGAGGCAGGAGGAGCATCCCCAAGGATGACACACATCCCTGTTGCCATGGCTACCGCGGGGAGAGGGGCCTGGCAGGGACCAATGGCCTTCTCCAGGCTGGCAGTGGCACCGAGGGGAGGGCAAAACCCTCGCAGACATCTCGGCTGAGCACGGGCACCGACATTTACACACGAGGGCTGCGCGCAGGTAACGCTCCCAGAGCCCGCTGGCACACAGGAGAACAGCCCCTCCTGCACCATCTCCCTGCAAAAACCACTCCCAGGCTACTCCAGCAGGTTCAGGCAGCTCTTGATGTGCACTTAAGCAACAGGGAAAAAAAACCAAACTAATATTCCTAAGATATTGAATTAGAATGAAATAATTTCAGGCTCTCTCCAGAGTCTGTGCTAATTGGCTTCTACTGCAGTGGCATTTCTGCTGTACAGCAATAATCACCTTTCAATTGAGCATCAATCTGTACAATTTATTGTATTATTTCCATCAGCTCCACAGGACTGCCACATTACTGAACATGACAGAGTAACTTACAAGGCACTGCTCAAACTAGAAAAGGTCTTCCAGCCTATGTTGTTACACTTAAAGAGTTTTTGATTCCCACATTTTATACTTTATTGTCACAGACATCTTTTGTGGAAAATCCTTTCTTTAGGATTTTCCCCCCTTCTGGGAAGCTGAGGCCCCAGAAAGAGAATGTAAACAATTATTATCTGCTGCTGTGGAATGCAACAGGTGCATCTGTGATTGGCTTATATTCCATGTTTACAATTAAGGGCCAATGAAAAGACCACAGAGAATCAGAGAAAGCTCCTTTGTTGATTCATTCCTATTCTATTCTTAGCTTCTGAACTTCTCTCTCTATTCCTTTTAGTATAGTCTTAATATAACTTATATCATAAAATAATAAATCCAGCCTTCTGATCATGGAGTCAAGATTCTCATCTATCTCTTCACCCCTGAGGAACCCTTGCAAGCCTAGTAATACTTTATGAAGAGTACAGAGATTTTTGGAAGGCTGACAAGCTGATTTGTAAATTGAAATAGCATTCTTATTTCTTTACTTCTCTTTAAATGCTCACCACACAAAGATGCTACCATTTAATCAATTAAAAAATGCACACCAGTTAAAACAACAACAAAAAACCTGAAAGCTTAGGGGTAAATGTTTAACTTCAAGAATCTTGAGCAGATTATGCTAAAGCTATAATTTGAAAAACAAATATTGTAGGTGAAAATGTGTTTTGCTTCTTTCCATTATATTTGGCCATCCATTTATTAACTAATTGCACAGAAAATGCATTTTACTAATGCTGCCTTACATTTCTTTCTCTGCATATCTGTAACAGGTAAAAATTAAAAAAAACCCCTTAAAACATGAACAACACTATTTATTTTACTTGTTTACTTTACCAATGTTCACAAACAATTTGTTCCTCAATAATTTGTGCAAGAAAAGCAAGAAAAGAATAGCTACAGGATTAAGAGGAGTGTGAGGGTGTTCAGTACCTGGGGGTCAGAGCCATCAAAGCCCTCCTGAGAAATGATCCTCTGAATGGACTGAAGCAGCCTTGCATAACCACTGTTCATATTCCTGTTGGGAAGCAGAAATATTTCAGTCACACATTTCAGTATTCTCCTATGTGTCTCTAACAGCTGTATAAAAATTAAATATGAACAGATGCCGCTCTCAGTGTAAGTGCCACATGGAAAAGAGGCGTCAGAGAAGAAAAAAAAACCCCAAAAACTCTTTGAATAAAGTTGACATTATAAGCAGCTTCATATTAACTAGTTCAGTGCTCAGACATTTAGTGAAAGCTAAAACCTCTAGGGATTAAGATAACTTAATTATGTCAGGCTCACTTACATCTAGGAGATTAATGATTTAATGTATCAACTTAAAGTTGAAACCATTCCAGCCCAGTACTAATCTTCTGTAACTGACAGAGATCTACCCAGTTGTTATTCCAAGTATTCCTAATCAATGCCCTGAAGTACAGAGTTGACTTTCTATGAAAATTTTCATGCATTTTCACAGCTTTATTTGCATGACAGCAAAATTGCGAGGTAGCATTTATTCTGTGTATTGTTTAGAAAATATAACATTCAGAACAATAAACAAAAGCAAGCCAATGGCTCAAAATGGATTTAAGCAGACTTAACACAAAATGAAGGTTCAGGAAATCATCTTGTCAGACTTAGAAGCTCTTTACTTTCAAAGAATGATTCAGGTGCTCACTTTTAAAAGAGAAATTGTTTTCTTAAACCTCATGGACCACACAGAGCTGAGTGTCTGGGCCTGATGCATGTTCCTCATTGCAGCTTAAACCCTTCCATCTTTTCTATCTTTGACATTTTCTTCCAGTCTCATCAAGGGTTGAAGATGCAAACCTCTTGCTCTTGTACCTCTTTGGATATACAACAGGTTATTTTGAAAATTTTGCCTTTAAAAATATTCTTGTTTGCTCCATCATTTGTGTGTCTGGCAACAGCTCAAGTTGGAGGGCACCCTGAGAGACCACCTGGCCCAAATATTAATGAAATATTATTATTAATATTATTCCCATTACTTTACTAAGAGCCTAGACTGTTATCCAAATGCATTTTACTGATGAATAAACCCAAATAAACTTGCTTTCATCCCTTGGCACAGGAGAGAATTCAACTTTTCTAAGAATCATGCTAGAATTGCAATGATCTGTCTTTTGCACTATTGCTTCAACTCAAAAATGTGTGTTTCCTTTAAGAAAACAGTATCCATACAAACCCAATCCTAAAACATACTTGAGTTATAAGCATCTACAATCAAAAAAGTAATGTGATCCTAAAAAAACTGAGCTTTGAAACAATCAATATCATAAAACATTAAGAGATGACCTTTCTCTGATATGAACACAAAGGAGAGTTTCCAAATCAAACTGTTTGTTTCAGATTTAGTACTCTAGAAGGCTACTGGCTAAACTCATGCATATAATATAAATAAAGGGCATTTAATAATTTAATACCCTTTATGAAATGCAGACCTGAAAATTAACAGGCAGGGTATGATCTCAACCTGATATTTCATGCATAAAGTCTGCCTTGCTATACAAAAAAAAAAGCAAGTTGAACTTCTCAAGTCCATTACTTTCCTAGTGCTCAGTTGCAAAAGGAATGGAAAATAAATGTTCTGCCCACACTGTGTGGCAGCTGTCAGTTTAGAGGGTGAACTTTAGCCCCCCACAGTAGCCAAAATTCTCTCTCTGTGTCTTTGCATTACCACAACAGATAGTATTTTATTTTGCTAGAGAATATACAAAATATTTGCCAATTTCTGATTCATTCCTAACTTGTTTTTAAAAGTTAGTGGATAAAAGAATTAAACAACTAAAGCACTTGCAGCATTAAAGGGTCTCAAAATTAAAGCAAAGAAATAAAATAGATCATCAATTAATCTACCAGAAAGATTTGCAGCAAAGAAAGAATTTTTAAAAATCATGTAGTTTATGTAGATTTTTTAAAAATATCAAAACAGGTGCTTTTCTATCTCTTTCTAAAATATTAATGGTTTCCTTGAATTTGACCCATCTTATGTAAATAAGAACATGAAAGATAATGTAGAAACACTGTTTATAAAAGCAAGTTGCATTACCCTTCTGGCAGTATTTGTCACAATATTTAAGGAAGGAAATAAGATATTGCTTATTTTCCAATTTCTAGTCTTTTTTTGGATTTGTTGCTAAACACGACTTGATGTTGATAATGAGTTTAAACAACAACTCCTTTACTCATTTTTTTTGTTTACCACTTTAGTAATGGGTAAAGCAGGAGCTGGCAAGAAGGTATCCTGGTTACAACAAAGGCTTTGCTGATAGTTTCCAAGCACTTAACAAAGGTGAGGTTATCAAGGGGATGACAAATCGCCTTGTTATGGAAAAGGAGACTCCATTAGGCAAGACAGTCAAACCTATTTTATCTAAATTTATTGGTAAAACCAGTCTCTAGATTAAATTTACTCTTTTTTTCAAATGCACGCACTTTCTTAAGGCAACGTTTACAAGCGTTACTGAAAAACCACAAGTTAATTATTTCGGATTTTTTGATTACCAAACCTTCTCGTTTGGCAATTGCCCTGAAGGAGGAGACTGAAGGCAGAAATGGAAAATAAGGACCAACAGAGAGGATATCCCTGATTCCTGCTGGGCGCCAGCTCCAGCAGTGCAGCCACCAGGACACAGA